GTTGATGTACAAAATGTAATAGTATGTAATAAAGTGATAAATCAATAAAAAATTTATAAAAAAAAAAAAAAACAACTGCGAAACACCAGCTTAGGACCTGAACAGCCTGCTTAGTAGCAGGCAGAAAGGAGTGATAGAGTTGAATGTCATCTAAACAACGACATAGAGGTCTTTGGAGCTGTGCTCTTCCCTCCTGCCTCCTTCTTCCAATGCAAGACAGTTTACAAAAGCTGGAACTGAGTTCTTTGGAGAAAGGATGACAGATGTGAGTTCCAGAGATCTCCAATTCAGGTTTTTAAAACTGCCTTGCCTCGAAGAAAGAAGAAAAGAGAGAAGAGTAGAGCTTCAGAAACCTCAATTTCATAGTTTTTAAACTGTCTTGCCTTTTGGGGGGGGGGGGGAGAATGGATGAGAGAATCAACCTCAAATAGGAGTGCGACTATTTTGCAGTGGCGACTATTATGCGATGAAATACAGTATTTTACATTAGTAAATGGCAGGAAAGGTTTAGATGTGATAAGAAATTAAACCTTGCAAATATTACATTTCTCCCTGAAAAAAACAACAACAATCTCTTCCACAGATTTCTGGAAATCTAACTCACTAGCTGCTCTCTGTTTCGAAGTATATAATACTCTCACACTTTGCATCAGAACTTGGGAATTCTGCCACCAGAACAGAAGATCATTTCACATATGCTGTAAGTAAGAAGACCTATTGATTCCAGTGACATTTACTTTCTTTCACCTCATTCACTTAGAACAAGAATAGAAGGCAATCAGTAAACCAGACGAAAGCTTACCTGAGCACACCTCCCCAAATCTGTCGGGCCAAGGAACTGAAATATTTTTAATGCCAGTTCATAAGGCAGTTGCACATCAAAGAACGGGACTTCGTTTATTTCATTCTGAAAGGGAGCCGGGAAAGGGAGAGAGAAGTGTTAACAACATGGTATTTCATTTTATTTGACACTGCACTTGACAACAGAACCAAAGTCAGAGGAAATGCAGTCAGCTATTAGCTTTTTTTCATAAGAGATAAACCATCACCCTGTGATTTCTGACAAGGAACTGAACCATAAAAACAGTCAAAGAGCACAGTACCAGACTCAGAGTTTAGAAAAGTTATTTTGCAGTTCCTAGAATGAGTCAGTCAATGGCTATTATGGCTGGGAGATTCTGGACATTATACCAAATAATTAACTTTTCCAAGCTCTGTATATGAATACTTGTTTTCCTGCCCTACATTCCCGCAATGCACCTCTCTTCATACAAACCTCAACAGCCCAAGCCTCACTGATCACTCTGAGCAGACTAATGGGATCAGTAGTCAAACACAGCCCTGAGATGGGGAAGCCTAGGTTTGCCCAACAGTGTCTGCTCTGACAAATGATAAGAAAGGTCCCATTTACCATTTCCCATTTCAAGCAAAATGAGAAACTAGGGTCAACTGAGGACTCTGGGGTTTAATCACTTTCCATCATGCTCTCACCTTCTCTTTATTTATTTTTTAAGAAAAAGATTAAGTTTACTTAAGTTTAGTTTACTAGACATTACATTCAATATTAATTTCTCTTACTGCTTCTCTTGTGTGCATTCCACTCCCAAGATCCCATTCCCATTTCTCTCCTTGTCCTATTACCCTC